TTTCTCTGTCTTTTGGATCTACGTCAAACTTCAAATGCTGTTCCATGTTTGTTACTTTTTAGTAAAGTTGGTTTTTTTGATATTTTGGGCTGTTTTTGGTGATATTTGTGAAAAGTGAAATAAAATAAACGAAATATTTACATCCCGATCTCTCATTTCATTTGTAAGTACATAAAATTGACATTATTTAAGATAAGGAATGAGGAAGCGTGTTTGTTTAGATTTTAATAGGGTACCATTGGGTTTATTCATGTTCATTTATGTATTAAATGGACGTAGTTATGCAGGAAAACGTCCAACCCAAAAAAATGTGATTGTTGGGAAATTGCAGTTTAAAAGATTTTAGTGTGCCCTAGCTAAAACTATGCATAATTTATTCGCCTGGCAATGATTTTAAGATAATGATATTCATTCGTAGGCACCTCGTTTGTAATTTCTTTTAAATGTAAGTTTCAATGAAGTTATTTTGAAAATTTTAGGTTGGAGTTTATAACAAAAACAAAAATCGAAAAAAATTTCGATAAAACATACTTATGTGGGTTGGAATCTTTCAGATAAATAAATAATGTCATATTTTTATAAAAATTTTAATGATCAAAGAAACAAAATTACAATGATTTTCTTATGTAAATGTAAATTTAAAAAAAGTTTTAATTATTGTGGGTATTACCTCAAAATCTAGAAATGGAAATTAAATCCATCAACGTCTTCGATACATTAGCACTTGTAAAATTTTCATAAAACGGTTTAGGTCTGAAGGAATTAGATGTAAATAGCTTTTAATATCGTTAATTTTATCTCTGACAGGGGTTTACCATTGGGCAGAGTTGCATAAGCAGCGCGAAAAGCTCTTGTATTTAATCGTCTGTCGTCATATCCAAACATAACTTTCATCGCCAAAATAACTAGGTTTCATAAAGATGTGGTAAGGATTTTCTTTTGTTAATATAATTGTTTTGTCTCAACCAATTTATTTTTTCTTTATTGGTGCAATTTTCTGTTTATTGTGGCTTCTCGAGTGGTGGGTACTCAAAAACCATTCTTTTTCATTTGTGCAGCTGTTATTGGAGACTTTTTACGACATGAATTTATTATATTTATATAGTCTAAAGGTGTATATATTGTTCTTGACGTTGAGTTGAATTCTATATCCCAAAATCTTTATCATTTGGTAGAAAATATGGCCGGAAATCAGGAATTTAAATGTTATAGTTTTTATATTATGGTGGTTTGAAGAAGACTGGCCATGAGGAGTGTTATTTTAATATTAGGTTTGGCTCACAAGAATCAGACACAATATAAGATGTTCAACAGTATTTCTATGTTTTCTAAATATTTTACAATACAGGAACCAACCTCTGAGCTCTCTTCCAGCAGTTCCTTCAAGCATACATAGGAATAATCTTATTACGTTTGCTGAAAATACACGAGATTATACAAGCAAACTTGCCTCTTATAATATATTACATTGGTTGGAATTTTGGGTAAAGGTAGAGTTTTTTGAAGATCGTATGTTAAACACTTACATTATCTCATCTTTAGCTCGTTTTAAATCTGCCTTAATGTTTCTCGTGATTTTTGGGCAAATCTGATGAGTGTCGAGTTCAATTTGTAAAAGTTGCTTTTTATGATCATCGTTTCATTTTGTAGTTTTATTTTAAATGAATCACATACTGGCATGTGTCTTCTTGGGAACATTAAATCTCAAATTAAATTTTTCGTAAAAAATCTTTATAAATACCAAATTTCACAGGGTTTTGAACTTCGATTTGTATAGATCATAAATCTTTAATAATGAGAGATGTGCGGTAAAAATAATGCAGACGTGTTTTCACGACAGTAGTGCGATATGTACTTAGGCAGTTTATTGATCTGGTTGATTATTTCTGAATTTTATTTTCAGGGACTTTGTTTAAACCACTTGTTTTCTACCTCTTTGATCAAGAATTGGAGCACGATTGTTTACCTTTCTCAGAGCTGTTGTTACTCTTGACGGAGTTATTCTAAGACTATTGATAAACATTTGCCTATAAGTAAGGAATATTGTTGGAATACAGACGTCTTTCAGTGTTTCTTCATACATTCTTTTTTTCGGCATTTCGTGGATATTATTGGCAATAAAGATAGTTTGGGCATTATAAGACCCAAGACTCAAAAACGATCAAATTCTTGTTTTCGTGACTCTGTAGAAATCAACTCAGAACATTTCATCGGGCAGTTACAATTGTAGTCATATTGAAATTCTTTAGCAGCTTTCAATTTTCTTTGTAGTCAATGTAGATTCATTTTTGTTCTATTAATCTTTGATGTTGCTCGCGTCATTGCAAATTTCTTTTTTTACCTTCTTTGGACGACTGATGTACTGGCTAAAATGGATTATCATCACAACTTTCATTGTTATCGGAACTCTCTTCATGTGACGATGGTATAAACATATCAGAGGAACGTACTAAAGACATCATTATTGACATATTCTGTAAGAATAAAAGGTAGGTATTATTAGATAATATTTTAAATAAAAATTTCAAAAAATTATAGAAAGGTCTATTTTAATTAAAGAAGTTAACTTTTAATCAATTACAGGTACAAAAAATAAAACAAATTCAATTCATTCAAATTAATCTTTTCATAAAGTTTACTATAGGTACTCATCGAAAAATAATTTTCATATGCTTTACATTATTGTATAATTACTTTAATCAATAATAATTGATGATCATAATAATAGGTATCAATTTAACATTGGTATAATAAGATTAATAATATGTGTTTACAAAATTGTGTGTACTAAGGAAGTTGTATTTTTTTTTTAGATTGTAACAATAGGTACATCAAAGTTTAGTTTTCATTAAATAGAAATAATATAGCGAATAGCATTATAAGCATTTTACTAAACAGTATAGGTACAAAGATTTAATACTTACATCATAATCATCAACAGAATCTATGGTAGAAGTGATTCAAAACATCAGTTTTTCGTTTAAAACCATTTCACGAATACGACTATTGGATGACGATGGTTCGCTGTGACGGTAGAATTCTGTCACATTGGTATCATCATATTCTACAATATATTTAAATTATGTAATGATGTATAAAATGCATTTATTTTAAAAATTTAGTAAACACATAAACTTTTAGAAGCCGTGTCTTATAAACTGATTATTTTTTCGTGATTTTCGGCAGATTAAAGAAATACCACAAACTCTATTTTCTTCTATTTTCTTTATTTTTTTTTTAAGATTTAGTAACAAAATAAATTGAAACGTCGTAAAAAAAAGAGAGTTTTGTGTTATTTCTTCAATCTGGCGAAAACACGAAAAAATAATCAGTAAACAACATATAGTTATTTTTTAATAAAAATTTCGACTTACTCAACATTGGTAATATTTGAATCAAATTCACGCTAGACATTACACTATTTGTTTGGTTTTCCATAAGTTTTGCTAGCTCACACATGTATTTGCTTCTTTTCGACATAATTATTATTAAATAAGTATTTTTAAACCCGAACAGTCAGAAAAATCAGACACAATGAATAAAAAGAAATGTTTATCAATACATAGGCACATTTATTAAAACTAAGGAAAGTGATTACTATGCTTAAGATGAGTACCTATAATAAATTAATTTTTATCGACAAGTTCAGGGTTTATACGCACAAGGCACGTTTTAAACATTAATAGGGCACATTCCGTAATAAAATTTTATTATCGACGAAATTGAAGATTCAAACTACTTTTAACATATTAATGAAATAGTAAACGTAAAATGATACAAGTGGTTTGGACGATTTTGATTATACTTTATTTTTAACAAGTATACCGAAATTATAAGTAGAAAACATCCAATTCACTTGGATGTTTTTAACACAAAAAAATGCACAGTAGTTTTGTTATCGCATGGAGCGTTAAAGTGATCCAACACTTAGCTGTTTTAACCACTCTTTTAACACGATTACTTAGATCGACATACATTTTTTAGAAAAAATTAACCACTTGGATTTTTTATTATCAATGAAAATTCAGTTAACTAGTTTGTGGGTTAGAACTTTGAGATTATTAAAAGAGTATGTAATGTTTTCATTGGACGGTTTCTGCATATTTTAAAGCAAGAAATTATATGCTCGCTGGTGTAAAGAACTCATTTTTAACAATTTGTGGGTTGGACGTTTTCTGCTTAACTAACGTCCAAATAAGATATAAAGTTCATGAAATTGGTAGACATTTTTAAATTGTAAGTAGACATCATCTGATTAAAAAAAATCTATTTAGTACCTTTTTAATTTAATATTTCTCATGGATGCAAATAAATTAGTGAAATGAATAAAACTCATTTATTTTTCTATGTAGGTTTCCAAATAATATTGACGATCGAACTATTTTGGTAGCAAAACTTAGGAGAAAACATAAAGATTTTTTATTGTAGCATTATTTTGATACCTATTAAAAATTAACTTGAATTCAACTATATTTTATTGTAATTAATTTTTAAAGCAAATAAAATTGTATTTTAATTTTTCTATAAAGACGAGATTTGTTAATAGTTAAACTCTCGTTTTTTTAAATTCTTTGAACGTTGTTTTTATACATTATTTACTACTTCCAATTTTTAAAATCTGAATAATTACCCGCGAGTAAAAATTCAAGCACGCTTATGCTCATTGCAGGAAGCATCACATTCTATCGAAGCTTCAAAACATTGTGTGTTTAAAGGTATCTTATTGCGGTGTCCATCTATGTTTATAGTCCATGGTACTGCCAAAGTGTAGTAAGCCTAGAATTAATTTAAACCTTTTTTAGGACAAGTTTTTTCAGTAATAATTTAAATAAGTTTAACCAGGTTGAATTAAAAAATTGTTTTTTCTACAAATAGTTTTTGGTGACTTACGTTACTTTGCCAAAAATGTATCGATTTGTCAAAAGATAGATAAATCGCTTTGTATGATTTTTACACTTACTTAGCAATTTTCAAAAAGAATAAACAATAAAAAAACTCACCTAAACACTGCACCGACAATCACACATACGGATAAACCCCTCGTCAACTATGCCGCGTAGTCTATTTTATCCCAGGATAAAGAAGCCGTCAAGTCAGCTGGCGTTCTAAATTCCTCCAAATTGAACGGATCGAACGGATCCTGAGCGATTCCCATCAATGGATCATAACCTCCCAGATCAGTTTCTTGAGTGGCCAAAGGAGCTGAATTAGAACTATTATTGCTGTGATAGACTGTCTCAGAAGGTAGAAGTGATTCTAACCAATCATCGGTGTCCATGGCGATGTCTTCTTCTTGTTGGTGGTCGTTGTTGAAGTTGTTGTTCTCTTGTGAATTTTGACCCCTAGAAAAACAATACAAATCTTTAATAAAATGGTATACGATTCATGTCGTATATAAGAAAATACCGAATGCCTGACGGGGAACGCATAGTCATCTCAGTATTTAAAAAAGAACAAGGTTTCCGATGAAACATGATGAGGTATTCATTATCCGCCAGATAGTGGAAAAGACAATTGAATTTAACAAAACTACTTGCTAATGAAAATTTTTTTTTATTAAAAAAAATCTTTTGTAAAAGGTATATATTTAGACCCAAACGGGCTAAGTTAAAAAGACAAAACGTTTTGGAATCCATATTCCATCATCAGTGTCCTAGAAAATATTTAACCACTTAATTAAAAATAATGTATGTTTAAAATTTTGACTAAGGTTAATACAAAGTGTGGTTAATACTTACTAAGAGTACATGAATGTAGCCACTAAATATATGGGTAAAAACCCGTTAACAAATAATTAATTACATTTAGTTTACAAATTTTTTTATAATGGTTTAGGATGTTAAAGTTGCCGTTGGATTAGGTAACATGGCGACATATGACTCCACGTTGAAGTTGCTAGTCTTGAGACAGTGTGTCTACGAAGACTGTATGGGAGCAACTGAATGGCAATGACATTAATTACAATGTTGTTTAGTTATGACGGAAGTTGTAACAGAGCAATCAATATAACTGTATGTTTCTACTTAAGACAAAAGCCACCGATATTTGAAATTGTGAAAATAAATTAAATTAATATAACAGTATCAACCATCAATGTTGTTATTTTTAAATTTATGTATATGAGATGGGATGTGGAAAGAACGTTATGTGGTTGTAGGTAGGCAACCAACTATACATGTGTGTAGTGAAAAAAGGTTTTAATTATAAGGCCCTTTATGTTTCTCAAACATTTGGTACCCAGAAAATAGAAACTAGACACATGTGGCAGGTTGAGTTCTAGAAATTTTATTGATAATGGTTAGATATGGATGTATTTATTTAAAATTGAAAGTGTTCTTGAAAGAATAAAATAAATCTTTTTTAGTATAATGTTCACATGATATTTAACTTATAACTCAATTATAGAGGCCCTGTATGTCATAAAACAACATTTGGTATCTGGTAAATGTGAAACTTTTAAGTTATAAGTTCATGAACATAAATGTCTGAATAGATGGTAGCAGACTAAATGGTGTGAAAGTTTTATTGTGTTTACTATTGTATGAAATGAACCAAATTATTTTTATTTTTATTTGATGGTTGGGACATGGTCATGTAATATGTTGATAGTATAGTAATCTTATAACGTAAGGAAGGTCCTATCTGTTATAAAGCAACAATAGGTATGACAACATTGTAATTAATGTCATTGCCATTCAGTTGCTCCCATACAGTCTTCGTAGACACACTGTCTCAAGACTAGCAACTTCAACGTGGAGTCATATGTCGCCATGTTACCTAATCCAACGGTAACTTTAACATCTAAACCATTATAAGAAAATTTGTAAACTAAATGTAATTAATTATTTGTTAACGGGTTTTTACCCATATATTAGCCATATATTATTTAACCCATATGGGTTTTTACCCATATATTATTTAACCACACTTTGTATTAACCTTAGTCAAAATTTTAAACATACTGTCTTACTAATAAAACACTCATATCCTAAGGTTATTCCGTATTTATACTTAGAATAGTTATCCTAAGTATAAGGTAAATATAATACTAAAATAATTTGTTACAAATAAACTCAGTATAAGTTAGTTATAAGTATTCCCACTTTATTCCGAAATAATAGTTTGGCAATGTCGCAATCTTTTGCATAAATACATGGAACAACGAAATATTGAGTGAAATATGTCAATTTTGATTTTTCTTTGAAACTGACACTGACAACTGACACCATATATATCTTTATTTAATATCTTATATCAAAGAATATAGACTATATTCTTTGCTTATATGTTGAGTTTGAGTATTTAAAAATTGCAAAAAACCTTACACCGACTTTAGAAAACCGATATTTTATTCTAAATTCTCTATCAGTGTTTTGAAAAGGGATTTATTATTTCTATAAAAGTTTTTCTTTTTCGTGTATTTTCCATCATGTTAATTAAATTATCAACTTCCTCGACAGCTGCAACACCTCTTAAACACAATTTTTTTAATAAATAGCTACTCACAAAATAATCCAAAAAATAATATATTCTTGTCACTGATGACTTTCACATTTATAAAATAGGTTATATACCGTTATACCAGACTTAAACTAGGGTGCGGGTCGGTATAATCTTGGAATAAATTCTGATATCAAGTATAACCTATATCTAAGTTATTCCGTGTTTATTGGTAAAGATTTTGCCTATACCTGATTTATTCTCAGTATAAATTTTATACTTGGTTTATTAGTTACGCTGTAAATGGTTAAATATTTTCTAGGATACTGATGATGGAATATGGATTCCGAAAACGTTTTGTCTTTTTAACTTGGCCCGTTTGGGTCTAAATATATACCTTTTACAAAAGATTTTTTAATAAATTTTTTAATATATGGTATACAGCCAACTACAGGAACGTAGATTCCTTGTGGATACTTGAATATGCTTCTGAGGACCTTACGAAGGTGTGAAACACAGTAAAGTTGTACTGTACTAAGGGCCGATTGTTCGAACGCTAATCAAAAGTTGATTGTAATTAAATATTTAATTACAGTCAAATTCGTCACAGCAGCTGTCAAAATTATTAAAAATTGTTTATTATTATTATTCATTCGTGAATAAAAACATGGAATTAACATCAGAAAGAGTTTGATTATAATTTTATTTTAAATTATAACGCAAAATAATAAAATTGAATAAAATAAATCAGTCAACATAACCCCAAAATGTGACGTATTTGATTTTAATTAAATATTTGATTACAATCAAGTTTTGATTAGCATTCGAACAATTGGCCCCTAAACTATTAAGATTTAGAAATACAGACTCCGGTATTCGAGCAATCATCAAAGAAATGAATACCTACAATAGTAGATTATTGTAAGAGCGATAGGGATAAGATAATACAGGGAAACAGGCTCTGTCCAATTATTTTCATATTGGTGAGGGGTCATGGATATGATCATAAAAAAAGTTAACTTAACAGGAAGAGGTTACAGAATGGAAAACAAAAAATTAAAATATGCTGTTATGGTAATGAAGTAGTAATTATATCGGTAAATAACCTACAACGATTACTATACAGGTTCCAAAACATTGCAGAAAAATTTAATGTGGTTATTTCTATTGAGAAGTCATTTTGCAAACAATCAAAGGACTGAGCAAATTATGGACTTAAAATACATATTAGTCAACATTACTCGTAGCAGAATTCTCAAGGAGGAAGTCAAAGCACAGTGATATCTGGATCCTACGTGACATCTGAAAGAACAAGCATATGAGATAAGTTAAGTGATAATATATAAGACCTAGGTAAGACCAGTAATGTCCTATTCGATTGAGACCAGATTGGAAACAGCTGCAAACAAGAAGCTCCCAAAGACAACTGAAATCTAAATGCCGAGATTCCTTCCTCGTTAGACTCTAATGGCCGACAAGGGTATGAGTTTATAAGAGAACAATATGACGTTAGGGATATCGAAAGATGGGTTAGTCAGAGCCGCAGGGAGTGCAGAGACCATACCAATAGAATGGACGATGAGCGGCTCGCAAAAACTGTAAAGTCTGCGAAACTCAATACGATGGTAGGAGAGCTGGACATAGGAGTCTCAAGACTTGGTTGTAAGAATGACCAGGACTTTTCGTAAATAAAGCCACATATTTTGAATACCATTTTTATAAAAAAGATATTCAAATATTCAAAATAATAAAAAATTACATATTTTTGACGTCACCACTTTGAAAATGAATTTTTTCCGGAATAAAAGTCGAAACGACAAAAATATTAAAAAATATTCTGCTAGAGAAGATTATTTCGATGACTTACCTTGGACTGCCTATAGAGCAACTAATTCAATTTTATGAGAAGCTAAGAATCATTAAGGGACCTTCCGGCGCAGTTAATATGAGAGGCATATCAGTCAAGGGAAAGTTGAGACCGAAGATCACGAGATAGAAATCTATAGAGAAGAACGAAACACAGTGATCGCAGAGAAGCCGTTAAAAACCTGAAACTGCGCATAGTTTTCCAAAGCATAATTCCATCTTTCACTAGTATATAGAGAGGCTGGAAAACATTTCGATTTTGAGTTTGGTAGCAAACGGAATAAGGTGAAAATGGAATTACCTCCAAACTCGTAGTGAAGCTCATTATTTTTCCCAAAGCAATCACAAATGACTAATTATAAGACCGAAAAGCCTGCCTCTGTCTTCGGCATATGCTAAGTAACTAAAGGGTGTTAAGAATATTTTAAGGAAATGGTGTGGGGTATCATTCCATATCCCTTAAATGCATAACTCTTATTTCAGTAGTTTTTCTTAATAATAAAGTATCAATATCTTTCTTGTAACAAAGTCAATCTAAATTCAGTTAAACATCAAATGCTGTATATTATACAAATATTCTATAGAAACATCCCTGCGTTTCTTTACGTTAAAACATGGATGACACGTTCAACTTACATATTAAGATTAAAGAATTTACTTTTAAGGCCAGGCAGTGTACAAGTGTACAATCCATCGTGATCTCAGAGGGTAGACTACATGACACAACCTTTTGATACCAGTGCTGAAACGAATCTACCAGAATCCTGTGAAGACGGCTCCAAAATCCTACGAAGTGAGGTAGAATAAGCAATCAAATGACTTAAAACATATAGCCAGAAATACTGAAATTTATTGAAAACAATAATCTACTAACAGCTGTATTCTATCTAATTTACGAAATAGGAGGGATCTTACAAGAATAGTTGGAATCGATCTTAATTCCATTACCTAAAAAAGTCAATACTCGCAATTGCAAGATGTCAGATTGAAATCCAATGGGTTACGCTCTCAAAATACTTTACAAATAATTCATAAC